GATCATGGCTATATGAGATGGTTTCACTTACTTGAGCTGCTGATGAGGAGGCTCGCCATCACGATCCAGCGTCCACTCATGGCCACAATTGTAATACTAATGTAATGACATTAATAAGAATAGTGTAATAGATCCGAATAGAATCGAATCGGATCGACTAGGCAAAAGGCCAAAGCCAAAAAGAAGAAGAAGCCCCTAAAATGGGTCGTCTCGGGTTTTTATAACCTCTGCTCGCTGACTCGTCGCCTTCCGGGTGTAGGGGGTCCTCCTACCATGACGTGATTTTGGGTCGGTGTAGCTTGATTATTGGTTGTCAACCCAGAAGGGGTTGACTCGTTTGGTAGGCCGCCTCTTCCTACTCAGCATTTTCCATCTGCCATAGTGCTTATGATCCATTTCATATAGCCCTTCCGCATTGTCAGCGGTTTACGCCGCCGCGTTAACATTCTGATTAGTCAGGAGTTCTTGTACTTCCTTGTAGACCCGAGCTCTCCGGGTCATGTCCTTATTACTGTTCAGTTTTTTGTTTTTTCCAAGCTTACCTTCTAATTGTAGTGATTCCACATTTACCAAAACTACATCTACATGCATGTGACCCTTGGTCCATTACAACCATTAACACTGTCGGATTAAATTCACAGCATAGCCATCGTGTGAAGTCGTCTGAAACATTTGCTGGTTCTCGGTTCTGTTCTTCGTGTGACTGGCCGAAATGACTCGTAATCAAGAAGTGGCTTTCGGCGGTGTGTGATGTATTGTTTCCTGGGGACCGACAGACTACAACGCTGTTTAGAGGACTGAGCTCCGTTTCCAAACAGGCCTGTTCTTCTCTGTTCCCTGTTCCCACACAAGCCTGTTCTCCTCTTTTCCCTGTTCCCAAACAGTCCTGTTCTCCTGTGTTCCCTGTTCCCAAACAGGCCTGTTCTTCTCTGTTCCCTCTTCCCACACAAGCCTGTTCTCCTCTGTTCCCTGTTCCCAAACAGGCCTGTTCTCCTCTGTTCCCTGTTCCCACACAAGCCTGTTCTCCTCTGTTCCCTGTTCCCAAACAGGCCTGTTCTCCTCTGTTCCCTGTTCCCACACAAGCCTGTTCTCTTCTGTTTCCTGTTCCCAAACAAGCCTGTTCTTCTCTGTTCCCTCTTCCCAAACAGGCCTGTTCTCCTCGGTTCTATATTCCTAAAAAGGGCTGTTCTCCTTGGTTCTCTCTTCCCAAACAGTCTCAACCAAGACCTATATTCCAAGAGACCAATGTTCACTCCCATATAAAAGAGAAGATACAATTACAGACTTGTGCATTTCATCGAATTTGTATTTTCTGACAGGAGAAGGGAATATCAATTTTCTTGAAATAGTCTATAACAAGCAATCCCTGAAAATAATCTGCCCTTCATTTCTTCCTGGATGCAATTTTGGTTTGTTACCATCGTTCATAGATATGAGTAATTCGCCGTTTTTGAAAGGATTTAGTTATCATCGTGGTCAGAATATAGTGTTACAGATATATTCCATTCTGTCAATACACCCACACACATACATTCATGTGTAAAACATAAGGATCCATTTCTTCACAGCAGGAAAGCTAACTTACATTCAAGAGTTCAACTTACGCATTACCGTCACAAATTAAAGGACAGGAACGAAGATATCCCTAGTTAAGTTTCCGCAGGAAATATGTAAGACATGTCATGTTTATACGATGAAACATCCTCTACTTTAAATGGGATAACACAAGAGCAGGAACGTATTTGGCTACCGCCCAACGCTAGACTAGCGGACTAAGTGGTGAAGCTACATGAAGTTACAGTTAGTTCGGTTCCGGGGGATTAAGAGTTATGAATTCGCTCACAGCAAGCCGCCACACATGTCACTTCAGGCTACAATAAACTCAAGTAATCGCTTATCAACATGGAATTACAGAACTGGTTGAATCAAGCGGTAACGCTCCAGACTCGAGTGCGGAAATGCCTGGTTCGAACCTCGACCGGAGCACAAACCATCCTATCTGAGGTTTTCCGTTGTTTTCCTCAATCCCTCCACATCCTTTCAAGTTCATTAATCATTTTAATCAAATTTCTGGACGGTATACAGTCTGAGTTACCGAAACGTCGTCCAACTACAAACGAATGTAAACCATGAAACCATGTTGCTTCAAAGTGATCCCATGTTCTTAGTTTACGTTTCTGCAGAAGCTATCATTCAGTGATATTGTCACGTTATTGAGTGTGACTATAGACGGGGTTTGGATCGGTTATTGGATTTATTGAACACTTACAGATAGTAACTATTGCCTTATCGTTAATTCGCACACTCTGCAGTTTACTACAGCATGTAATAAATCTTATCAGTCTCCTGTGTCTTCACCAGTCGTTGCCTGGTGACTGATCCCAACAATGTCCTCTGCTTCCGTGCTCAAGTTCTTATTGACTGACGACTGTCCCACAATTAAACCATTGTTCCAATTGTCTTACTTATAACATTTCGACACGACCCGTACAGAAAACACCATACTTCAGTTGTTTGCTGTCCGCTGTCTAGCAAAAACGACTGTAGAGTCGTCTATCTCACGGTCGACGCCTAGCAAATCCAGCGAGTACTATTTGTAACAGAATGCAGTAAGAACTCATTCCTACTGAATGGAAAATTGTCCTAAATAAGGATCTTAAACTGTGGTTCAGATCTCGGCCAATATTCACAACATCAGCAGCAAACTTCTAGCTCTTATTGGAGAAAGTTAAGTTTCATCTGCTGCGCTTAGGAATTTATAGAGTCTTTTCAAACAATATACTGTTAAGCAGTATGTGTAACTATAGAAGGGGGTTAGGATCTGGTGAATAGATTTACTGATCACTTACAGGGCGTAACTACAAATAACTATAACACTATCGCCATTTACACAATTCAAGTTTCATTACAGCACACAGTCTAGTGTTCTCAGTCTGTACTAGAAGTTTCTTGGTAACGGCTCCAACAATGGCTACTCCTCTGCCTCTGATTCAAGTCCTCTCTTCATAGACTCCTGTACAGAACTGATCAAACTGACCTTGTCCCTTGCTTATAATATCTCGGAAAGGACCACATATAAAACATGGATCTTCTATTGTTGCGTTCGTGTTTATTACTGCGGGAACGTGTGTACCGAGCCGTTGCCCAGAAACGGCTCTGGTATATCCGCCCATCTCGCGGTCGTTGCATAGCAACAGATCTATACACCACAATATTTTAATTAACCTTTTCTTTTGTTGCTAGTGGGGTGGGACTAAGTCCCTTGTACTGCGGCCACTTCTGGCCTATTGTACCAGCCCCAGATGATAGGTGAGGGTGATTGTGGAACAATTGGTGGAATGAAGATTAGCAGGGGAAACTGAAGTACTCGGAGAAAACCTGCCCCAGCGTCACTTTGTCCACCACAAATCCCACTTGACCAGACCCGGGATCGAACCCGGGACGCCTCGGTGGGAAGCCAGCGACTAACCGCTTGACCGTACTTCACATCCATGAATTTTGATATCCCAGAAAACCAATAAATGGACTATCTCCCTGAAACATTTACCCTCTTGAGAAGCTAATCTCTTATTCGCTCAGTTAGTAAGAGAAACTGCCCGGCTTTTATGAAAATCCAAGGTTTAAACGGCGTCACGAGAGAGGAGAAATACAGAGAGTTACCACCAGCTAAACGACGGTTCCATCCATCCACACTCCCACAATGCACCCAAATACAGCCCGGGTATTTAGAAGTGACAGTCAGGAAAAGCTGCGCAGTGGATGGGCAGGTCCATTCGTGAAAGTTAAGGGGTGTTGTGATTAATCATTCGTTTGTTTTCAGTGCCAGCATGCGTCTCAAGTTCAGTTAAAAGCATTCTTCCTTGTACAGGCAAGTTAAAAAGTTTTTACTCTTCGAGTCGTGTTTGAGTGTATTATTCTCTGTTTACTATTGTATTTTGTTCACTTTTATTCGTTGATTTTCTTTTTCTTTTTATTTATATTTGTACATTTTTTCTATTTCCTTTAACATGAAGTAAATTGAGTGGGAAAGTGTTGCATTCACAATCAAGAGAAATTGTTAGTAATGTACATACGTATATGAAAGAGGCTGGGCCAACAATTACAGTGAAGAACATAGGAGTCGAAGTAGCAAAGGCAACAGGTGTATCGGAAAGTAGTGTCAGAAAAATAATAAGAGAAACAAAAATATCGAATCCGGGGCTTCCACTTCCTTTTCGACACCCCATAAAGAAAGTCCTAGGAAATCTCCAGTAGCCACTTTGGAATAAAATAGATGGAATCTTTGCAGAGAACACAATATTTTACGGCTCCCTCGGTATCAACCAAACTGAGTTAATATGGGCCATCATAAAAAATTGTGTTGCTCAAAACAATACCACATTTAAGATGGATGACATCATTAAACTGGCAGACCAAAATTGGCTTCCATAACTGCAGAAGAATGGCAACGTAGGTGCCAGCATGTAAGGAACATTGAGCAACAATTAATGGCACGGGAAGGCCTTTTGGACGCATGACAGGAGTTCGTCTTCCATGTTGGCGGTGATAGTGATGACAGTTCTGATGATAGCTCCGGTTCATCTGGTGGTGACGGGGAAGGACAGGCATGTGGAGATGATATCTATGCGGACATTGCCGGTATTGCCCCTTTAGAATAGACCTGTGTAATATGTAAATAAACTCTTCATGCATATAACAGTGAAAAGTGTATAATAGTGTATACTGCATAATAGTCTGCTGTTCGGCTCTTAAAACTTTAACATCGGATGTGTGAACGTCATCGAGACCAAACCGCCAACACTATGCCACACAATGAGGCCTGTACTGCATTCCCCTCCACACTTGTCGGCATGCTGGAGCTCTCCTCGCCACTACCAATACTTCTCCTACTCCGCGTCGGAGGACTGTCACTTCTAAATACCCGGGCTTTACCCATACAAGTGTCGTTCTGCGGTCAAACAACGATAGCCCATGAGCATGCGCATTCACGTCTGCCAGCCGTTTTGTTGCTGCGGCGGTGCAACACTGTCCGTGATGACTGTTTTCATCACAGTTTGCAACTTATGTTTTGACATAATGACTTGCTGTGCCTACAGCTGCACACAGTAGGTTCTCGAAATGATTTCACTCTTAAAGTTTTCATTTGGCTCACCCTCGTATATTTTATATGTTCTTCTCCCCTCCCCCTTTCTCGGTAGTTCTTCAAAAGTGGGTGCAGGCTGCTGTTGGCCCCTCAGTGTTTTTCTGCATCAGAAAACCTGGGAGTTAGAACGACCGAGGCTGTAAGCCACTGTATTCTCGTCTGGACTCGAACTATCGCGGCACAAAGCTGTAACCTTTAAGCAGCCATAAACATCCCGAGTAGGGGAAAGCTGCAGTATTCTTAGAAATTTAAAGGAATCGTTGGAGTTCTGTTTCTCAGAGCGGTGACTGAGGAATTGCGTCTTCTGGGATGTGGCGCCATGTGGTCTAGTGAAAGTGAACCGACGTTTCGGCTGAACATGTAGCCTCCATTTTGCTTGCGGCCTGCTTCATGCTGGTTTCCTGCTTAGCTTACTTTTCGACCCTGATGACAGAGGCGATACGTTCCTCCGAAACGAAGGTTTACTTTCCCCGGACTATACGGCATTACATCCCATAAGATTCATTCATCTGTAATCTGTCAAGACGACAGGTCCACAGTCTCTTCCAAAACAGTTCCTCCACATGATGCGATCTAGAGCTTTCTCCTTCAAATGAAAATATCCTCTTCTGTCCCCAAGGTCATCCAGCATCTTCGTACGTCTTCTTCCTCGTCTTCTGGTCACTTCTATCCGCCCCTCTATCTTTCCTTCAATAACTTCTTTTAGAAGGCAGTTACCGCGTAAGATATGACCAATCCAATTAGCCTTCCGTTTTCTTATTTCGTGTAGGATATTCCTCTGCTCACTGACTCTAAATAACACTTCTTCATTTCTC